TTATAATTAATTAATAAAATTAATTGTCTAAGGTTATTAAGTACTGTCGATAAAAAATAATAAATTAAAAAAAAGATTCTGCGTTGTACAATTTATTTTTTCTAATTTTGTTCATATAATTTTAATATTAAAAAAAACGTTTTTTTAAACATTTGAATAAATTTTTTTTTAATGAAAAAAGGGGATTTTTTTTTTATTTTAAACGTTATTTTTATCATTACAAAAACATTTTCGTCAAATCTTAAAAAAGCATTTTTTTAACATTAAAAAAATATTTCCTTGAAATAAAAAAAAAGTTTTTTTAGTATTAAACAAACTTTTTTTAATGTTTGAATTAATGTTTTTTTTAATGAAAAAAAGGGGAACTTTTTTCGTTATTTTAAATGTTTAAACGTTTTTAAAAATATTTTCCTTGAAAATATATCCTTGAAAATATTTAAAATAACAATCCTTAGGATATTTCTTGGAGAGAATTTCTCCAATTTAAATCTCCATTTTAATCTTTTATTCTCTGAATTAATCAAAAAAAAATTTCATTCTAATATTTTAAAAAAACTTTGATGTTGGCTACAAGAATATTAAATAGAAAAATAGAGGTTTATTCCGTTAATTAAAATTTTAATTTTGACTTTGAAAAAAACTCTTCCATATTTGCTCTCAAGGTCAAACTACACTATTTGCATTTATTGAAATTTTACAACTTTTATGTAAAATATTTTTTTCTCAAATATCTTGTTTTCAATATTTTACCTCTTTAGAACTTTTATCGCTTTGCATATATTCATTCAAGGCTAGTCTTTATAGTGCTTAATAAACTTTTATAGTAATCTGTTATAAACTTTTGTATACATTTTTACAATTTTCAGTATAAGTAAACTACGCAATTTATTTGTCAGTCTATACAACTTTAGAACAAAATTAAAGTGCGTAGTATCACCAGTGAAACTGATTTAATATTACTGTTGTTAATATGTACCTGTCAATTTAATTTGTGACATTATATACTCCATGAGAATGAAGATTACATAGTTCAGCTTTGTTTTAAGACTATAAATATAACCGCGCAGCATACAGTTTGTTTGAATTAAAAATTCTAAAAAATTACATAAAAATTTATTATTAGGCACTAAGTCTTAACTAAATATGGCTTTCTTCACTTATCTATGTTGAACATTTTTTAATCCATTTTTATTTAATATTGAAAATTTATAAGATATTTTATGCTTCATATAAAAATTTATCAGAATAAAATATATCTCATAAAGTATTTTGTCTTTTTCCTATCTTTATTTTAATATTTTTATATTCAAAATAATTAGAGGAATCATATTATAATATTAAAGAAATTATATAATTCTATTTTAGAAAGTGCAATGGAGATGACCTCTGTTCTTTTTTAACTCTTCCGCCTAGAAAAAACGTTCCCCTCGAATCCATTCTACTTTTATCTGAAACATTTTCTTTCATTAACAATTTTGGAGAAAATTATTTAAAATAAAGGTGTTTAAAATAAATACGCATACGCGCACGCGAATTTTGGGGCACTCTGTATACATAATTGATGCCTGCGTGTCGTTATTACGTCATTCGAAATCATTAAAAATAAATATATGTAATAGTTATCAATGCATCATAAACATTATAAATTTGCGTGATTTTGTTGAGACATACTTTTGATTATGTGAAATGTTTTGATTTTGAAGATCATTTTCTGATAAAATTAATTGGCTAATCTGACAGCTAGCTATCAGATTATGAAATAGCTATTTTATAATTGTCGAGGGACATGAGAAGTGGAGTGGATTGATCACGCTCTGATTGATGAGCGATCGATTTATGATTTATGGATCCGAATTTAATTTCGCCTGCCCGTATACATTTTTTCCTCGTTTAAAATATCGCTCTGAAGTTATTAATATATGTGCCTCTTCGCTTAAAGAACTGCTCCAATATTGCTCCAGTATGAAGTGATATATCCTAATTAATACCTAAATTCTAAGCAGAATCATAAGGCTCGTAACTAAGTCGCTTATAATTCTAAGAAAATGTCAAGTGTTTCCGTTCTGCCAATACATTGTATTTAGACATCAATATCTATAAATATAATTACATATTACGCAAATTATTCGAGTGATAAAAAACGCAATTTTCTTGTTATATGTCAGATGAAACCTTGAGGTATAGTAGGAGAAAAACATATTGGAGGAAAAACGTATAAATCAGCAGATATCACAATATTTCGTCGACACAATGGATTGTCTGATTTATTACACATCCGCGCTGATAATCTCTTTCAGCCTCTTCTACGCGTATGCCAAGTACAAGCTGTCCTATTGGAATAGACGCGGGGTGAAAAGTCCTCCGACACATTTGTTCTTTGGTAATTTCAAGGACTGCATCATGCTGAAGAAACCGCCGGGTGATAAGATACGCGAAATATACAATAGTGCCGATCCAGATGATCCTTACATCGGTTTTTATATCTTCCATAAACCACTATTGATCTTGCGAGATCACGATCTGATCAAACAGATAATGATCAAGGATTTTGACAACTTCCCGAATCGGCGATTTGGTTCAGGCAGTCAGAGGGATCTGATAGGCCTGGACAGCATCTTATCCATGCCTCAGCCTAGATGGAAATATGTCAGAAATAAACTAACTCCAGTTTTAACTGGACAAAAATTGAAAAACATGATACCGCTGATGATAGAGAACGGGAAGTCCATGTTGAACTTCATCGAGAACTTGCCGACGAACGAGGATGGCTGGAGTGAGTACGAGGTGAAGGATATCAGTAATTGTTACACCACCGATGTTTTGGCTTCCCTGACATTTGGTATTAACATAAACTCTTTCGACGATAACGAAACCGCTTTTTGTAAAACCGGTAAGATCTTGCACTGATTTTATTGGCTCCGTAAAACATTCAGCTTTTGTACATATATTAATTGGTGAACATTTTTCTGAAATTTCCTTCATAATTTTTCATAAATAAAATTTTTCATAATTTTTATATAAATTTCATAATTTTTCATAATTTCTACATTTTATAACTTATTGAAAAATTTCTCGAATATTATAAGAATTAAAACACTTTTCAGAAGTGCAGAGAAAGTCTACATTTTTTAGAATTTTTACACTGTATATACATGTGAATTCTGAGAATTTTTATAAGATTTCTTATTCTACAATTTTTGAAGAAAGCTCATAAAATTTAAAAAGAATTTAAGATTTTTTTTCAGAAATGTTCATAGATTTAAAATATTTTTGTAACAAATTCTTACAAATATTATTAAATGTTAAAAATATTATGCAATATTATAAGAATTTTTTTTAGGATATAATCTGCTGGGAATCAAAAAATTGTTTATTCTTCTTATGTACAAAAGAAAAGAATGTGAATTTCATTTATCAAATACATATACATATATAATTATATGCATTATATAAATTACGATGTTATATATTTGCAGGTGTAACAGTCTTCAGAGGTTTTATGCGCGGAATTATATTCATTATTCAGTTCTTCTTACCTGATTGGGATTTTTTAGTAGTACCGTTCATTAAAAAACCTGCGAATTATTTTCGCAATATTTTCTGGGACTCCATGAACACCAGAGAAAGGCTGGGATTTAAAAGAGGAGATATGATAGATTCCATGTTGGGGCTCAAAAATGGAGAACAAAATCCCATTTACAGTAAAAATTGCATTTGACTTATAAAGTAACAACTATCACGTCGTTAACATTTACATCTACATAATGTAGTCTACATGGTCTATTCTGCTATTAATATTATAAATTTTAACATATTTCTGCTATGTGTCGAACTTACGATAAATTACCGCAAAAAAGAAGAATAATGGACAGAATCGTAAAATTTCTTAATATTAATTAATCATTTAATTATCTGTCGTAGAGTTTGAAGGAGATAATTTAGTGGCGCAGCCCTCCAGTTTATATCTCGCTGGGTTCGAGGCTACCGCGAGTGCGATAGCTTATGTTCTGCATGATTTGGGGCATCATCCAGAACATCAAGATACTATATACAA